GCTGTTGGCTGCCTTTGTGCATCCACTGTATGTTGGCGTCTGTGGTTCGGATTGTTTCTCTCGCTCTCTTTCAGACTCTGAATCAGCAGGTCCCTTCGGTAAACAAGGCAGAGTGATTGTTGGATTTGCATATTCCTGAATAAATTATATTTCATTTCTGAGATAAGCGGTGCACTACTGTTTGGTAGCTTTTCCTCCTCCTTCTCTTCTGCCTCCTCTCTACGCCATTCACGCATGCTGCCACGAATTAACCCTGATCATGAGGGACCGTGGCGAGTAAGAAAGTGCTGCTCAAAATTCATGTTTTCGGCGGAAGGAAAATCATGCCATTGGCCCCCGGTGGGGCCCAGACTGCCAACTACGTGTATGGTTAATCAGGGCTGATAATGATTCATGCCCATGTCTGCCACCAAGGAGAAGGATGGGAGCCACGCTTAGTGGTGTGAGATGGGGCTAGAAAGCCAGGGAGGAGAGGAGGTGGAGATTAAAGAGGCTGAAGCTACAGTTGGAGATGGAGGTGGAGAAGAGAAATGGGAAGATAAGGACAGTAGTGGAGAGGAGGCGACTCCCAAAGACGAGTCCGTGAAGGAAGGCAACGAAGGAATGCAAAAGAAGTCTAATCCGCTGGATTAGGCTGTTTAATGTGGGAGCAAATCACTATTTCATGTGTGTGTGTGTGTGTGTGTGTGTGTGTGTGTGTGTGTGTGTGTGTGTGTGTGTGTGTGTGTGTGTGTGTGTGTGCAGCCAGACCAGCATATGGACATGTGTGCATATTCACAAAACTGTGTCTAATGGGCCTGGGTGAATGAGGTTCTTCATATGAACACATCTACAGACTGTAACCCCTTTTTAATTACAGCCCTGGCATGCTGAAGAAGCGGCCAGAGGGAAGAAAAAAAAGAAACCTTCCATTAAACCACATGTAGGTCCAACACCCACCTCAATCGGTTCAGCTGATGGCTGCTTTTTTATTTCTCCCCCTAATTCAACTCACTTCCTTGGGAGAATTGGGCTGGTGGTATTTTGGCTGTGAAAAGGAAACCATCGGACGGCAGGGGCATGAATATTCCAAATGACTAATGTTGCACATGCTTATTTTTGACATATCTGGCTTCCGCAGGGAAATAAAACACTTCTAATGCAGGGGGACCATCTGTTATCTGTTGCTGGTGTTTCAGAGCAGGCGGATTCGGTGCTCGCTCTTGTACGTGCGCGCACACACACACACACACATTAAGGATACACACAGGCATACAGATACACGCGCAGGAACGCGGGCAGACAGATCGACATGTTCTCACGCAGCGGGAGATGTGTCGTACGTAGCCGGTACGACACATGCGCACACACACGTACTAACAGCAGAATCCGTCGGGAGCATGCACAACAGACACGCTCTAAACTCCTATACAAATTGAACACTCCTTTTCTTCCCCCTTTTTTCTTTTATTCAGTGTGTTTGTCAAATGCACTGTAAATCACGGGGTGTAGGTGACTGGGAATGCACACAATTTTTATACTGGCCATAAATATTCTGGCCTGTCTCTTCTCTGCAGCTGGAGCAGGATAATATGCTGGCAGTGTAAAGGGGGGGGAGGAGGATAGACTAGATGCACTAGATTCTCTCTTAGATTGGTTTGAAACTGTGGTCAAAGTAATAGTTGCAAGAGGTATAGTAAACAAAGCTCTTGCATGCATGGATTACCTGTTTGTTATTTTCAGAAAATAGCTTCTGGGAGTGCCATAATACCCCTGTTCAGGCAATAAGGCGTTCTGGATAGCTAGATTTGCCTCAACAATATGTGATGTGTTTGAAAAGAGTCCACAGCACAGCTAACAGTGCAAAGATTTTAGATAAAGTGCAAAATAACCACTGAAATAATTAAATTGTAACACCGATATTGTTAAAGGTAACCTGGATTTTTTATTTAAATAAAATAAATATGTTACATACAGTAACATAATATATAAATGCATATTCTGTACTGTATATAAATGATGGCAGGACCCACATTGCTGTCACCTATTTATCTGTCCTGTTGGGGGCGCTGTGTAAGACACTCAGACCTATGCTATGATTGTTTTTTTTAAACCATATTGGAGTCCATGCTGTTATCACATAACGCCTCTTAGCTTTATTAACAAGATGCACCACACAGACACAGATACCTGCTAATTAGTGTGAAGATATTAATTAAATTTAAACTAAAATTTCACTCCTGTGGAGGGTGTTAGTAGAATTAACCACAAGTTTATTTTAAATTGGTAGAGCAAAAAGATGTTTGCAGGATGGGTTAGCAAAGCGCAATTATGTCGTAGACACAGGCAATATTAACTACATCATTACCAGACATTATCTGGGCTTCCTTATAAGTAACTCATCTATACTACAAGCCTCTGAAACTGATCACTTCCTTCTTTGTATACAAAGATGTGACAGACGTGTTATTCTCCATATATGAAGCTTTGTGGAGTTACTGCTTACAGTCCACTAAATACAATGACGTAAATGAAGGCCTTGTTTGTCTTGTGAGGTGCATTTGTATTGTCCGCGATCGCTGCTGTTGTGTGCTCCTCGCTGTTTGCAGTGTTTGACATAAAACTGATAAATATTGGGGGCTTAGTTCTGACGCTATTTGGACTCCCACACCTGGTTCAGCTTTAGAAGGATTTTAATTGGCTGTGCATCACTGCTGTAATGTTACACTCTCACCCCTGGTGGAAGTTTGCGATTGGTGATCCCGCGTTTTTGTGTTTTGTCTGATTAAAATCCTGTTGAAGGTTTGTGTGCTCCTATCGAGCTGTTATGAAGTTGACAATTAGATACAGACAGCACAACCCTTTTTTTCTAACAGGGCACAAACATCCTGACTTCTGCTCTGAAGTCGGCAATTTTAACAAGAGCGTCAAGAGTGGGAGTTGACTCATTTTTGGAGCCGACTTTAAGTGCCTGTTTTTTTTATTTTTGGCACTTCCACGTCGGCCTCATTTTTTCAGCCACAGATTCTATTACCATTTATAAAACGTACCAATCGTGACGTTTTCGGCTACAGACATGGACCGATTTCGGTTAAAGCTGCTGAAACGCGTGCAGCACACATTTGACTTCCAAGAAAATCACAACCAAACAGAAAAAAATATATATTTTTGTCTTTGAAGAATGTGGTTATTATGAATTTTCCAGAGCACACCATGATCTTTTTTAAATGCTTAGTTTTTAAATGTACTTTAACAAGTGTGTAACGCTGTAAAAACAAGTGCAAAGTGCAGGCTTTTATTATATGCACTGTTGAAACACATTTTAATATACTTGACATAAATTTGAGCGTAATTACTTTATTTATGTGGCTACAGTACATGTGTATTATTCATCTCATTGTTTAGGCAATTTATTTTAATGTTTAGTCAAAAATATATAGTGAAAAAAAATAATATTTTTTTAACCCTAGGACACTATCGCCGGGTGATTTTCACCCGAGCAAATATATTTGATTTTCAATATGTTTTGTTTGTCTGTGTCATGGGTCCTTGTGTAGCTTCAGCATTGTCTTTGACATCTTTGAAGGCGTGGGTGTTTCCCTAACCCAAAGCCCACTTTCTCCTACAGGCATGTGTTCGGGCGATTTTTACCCGGCAATAGTGATAGAGGATAAAGTAGGTTTTGGGTGGATTTCACCCAGTGATAGTGTTAGTGTATAAAATCAGGTGATCTTGCCGCATCTCAAGTCCTGATCTGTAGCGTGCTTGACATCCCTACCGCGGCACACTTGCAGGTGAGGCCAGACCAGTGGCAGCAGAAAGCAGTAGCCCCTTAGGGAGGTGCGCTGACTGCCCTGCAGGAGTGGACAGGAAGTGTGTCCACGCCATTACTACCCTGCGTCTATTTACTGCATGTAAGGAATAGGTAAGTAAGAGTGGGCCTGGAATTTGCATGTCATACTTATTTAGTGCAGTGATTATGACAAAATATCACAAAGTGGTGATTTCCAGGGGAATTCATATGATGAA